ATATATATATATATAATCCCCTGTGTGTAGGGATTAAATATATATATTTATCTATATAAAATCCACACTGGGTATGGACTGGAGAAGATAGGGTTCAGCAGCAGGAATCTCAGAGTCAGGGAGCATTTTGGTGACAGTTAACCAGCATTAGCATCTACAGAGGTTGCATCTGGAGACCCACCTCATGCCTTGCCAGTGTCTCTGTATATGCTTTGCTCCCCTCCACCCCAAGCAAAGGGCAGGCTGTTTGGTTCTTTCAGTCATTTCTAGATGTCCCGTCAGCTGGCACACTGCTGATAGAAGGACAGGAAGGCTTCACCAAGCCTCACACGGCCCTGAAACATCTCCCTGCCCTAGAGCTCATCTCCTGTCTGAAACTACAAATGAGTGAAAACCAGGGGATATCATTTATCCCCGTAAAGATGTGTCTTTCTCAGTCTGGAAGGCATGGTTCTCTAAGCAGCTCTCATGATATCATCAATGGAGACTCTGAGCACCCAGCTTCACACGCACAACAAACCCTCTTCCCACCCCAGCTCGTTTGGGCTAAAGGAAATGACAGCATTGAATACCCCAACTCTTGATTTTCTTGTCAGGCTGTGATAAGGCAGTAGTTCTTTTAGTAGAAGGAAATGCTGGATTTGCCTCCAGGTGGGTTTAGGACTTTGTTGTGTGAGCGAGGCCGAGGACCCAGCCTTGGCTCATGGCTGTCAATCTTGGGCCTGGGCTCGTGCTCCCCGGCGTGGTCCACTTCTCTGGTGCTGCCTCTCTCACCCGCCTCTTCTCCAGGTGGGATGCTTGTTGCAGCTGTGGAATAAAGTCAGCACACAGCTGGTTAGAAGCAAACTGTCATCCTGACAGGTACACTGAGGGAGTAAAGTGTCATGGGGCACATCAGAAGTTCACACTGTAACTGGGAAAGGGGGAAACCGGGCTTTTGATTCTGGCCCACGCCAACTCACTGCATTTAGCAGATGCAGGTCATGAAATGAGCATAACTTCAGGGCTCACTATTATAAACACTCCTTGATTTCTTCCTAAGTTAGTTGTTCGTTTATATTGCTTGTTAGACTCCATTCTCATTTCTTCTTCCTTAGTATAAAAGCAGACTTTCTCAGAGTAAGCAAGACAACATCTTATTGAAAGGTCTGATAAGATGAAGGCAAAGCTTCTTGTCATTACTGCTCTAGACATTTTTTTTTTCTTTTCACAGTCTCACTATGGTAGAGTGCATGGCGTCACAGCTCACAGCAACCTCGAACTCTTGGGCTTAAGCGATTCTCTTGCCTCAGCCTCCCAAGTAGCTGGCACTACAGGTGCCTGCCACAATGCTTGGCTATTTTCTTGTTATAGTTGTCATTGTTTGGCAGGCCCGGGTCAGGTTTGAACTTCCTCGGTGTGTGTGGCCGGCACTTTCGCCCCTGAGCTACAGGCACTAAGCCTACTCTGGACATTTTGAAGGAAGAATGAATGCCTATGTATCTGGGTCATCATTTTAGGGAAATGGTGATCCAAAAAGAGAAATCACTGCCCACAGTTCAAGTTGAGAGTGGAATTCTGACCTCCAGCCTGACGTCAGAGCAGCTCATTCCTGGGTGACTGACAGAGGAGACTCATGTCCTTGCCCACCCACCCACCCTGCCGTGCATTTCCCCTTCCCATTTGCCAGGTTTCCTCCTCTGGATTTTTTTCTGCCATCTCTATTACTGATCATGAGTTCATAAAAGGTTTGGGATCCTGGCCCTTCACTACATAGATCAGCTTCTAGGAAGACAATACCTTGGTTTTAGACCAAGGCTGATTAGCAACAAGGAAAGAAAATCTTTTTACCACAGGGTTCCTTAAGTACAAGATTCTCTCAGCAATAAACACATCATTGCATGTTTTAGTAGGCTGGCCTACGAGGTACAGAGAAATAACTCCCTTTCACTCCCTGAGGTCACATACCAGCAACTCTTCTAGAATCAGGCCACTCAGCAATAAGGGACAGAAACAAAAGCTCACCTTTATGATCTGATTTTGGTTCTTCTCCTTCACATAAGAAAATGTGATCCTGCAACAAGGCAAACCATTAGGTCACAGTTGGTTCAGAACTTTTTGACCCTTATTAAAGTAGACATTGAAAACTGAGGAACAGGGGTAGTATGTATAGGTGAGAAAGTACCTAAGAAGGAAAGGAAGCCAGTCCAGAGATTGGAAAGGCTTTATTAACCTAGGAAAGGGAGAAAAGCAGAGTGGAGTCTGATTAGGAGCCAGCTCAGCTCTCAGGTTCAAGAGGCTTTCATTATCCCTTATCAGTGGGGGTTGAATGTGGGAGGGTTTCCCAAGGGAGTAAACCCTTCTGCAGAGGGACTAATTTTTACACTCAGGGCAAATCTAGAGTTACTACCTTAACTGGCTATCAGTCAGGACAGAGTTATAAATTACCATTCTGTTGTTTCCCAGGAACAATGGCCTTGAAGCACTCTGGGGGTAAAGGTTTGCAGTGATAAGTTTGGTTTCTGGCATGCTTTTTCTCACCAGCTGTTTCCCAGAATGGCTGTACTCTTTTCAGGGCCATGAGGATTTCTTTCTCACAAAAATCAGAACATGAATGACTTAAACTTTTGTTTTTTTTTAAGAGACAGATCTCACTCTGACTTCCAGGCTACAGTATAGTGATGCAATCATAGCTCACTACTCACTTCAACTCTTGAGCTCAAGTTATCCTCCTCCCTCAGCCTGCCCTGGAGCTAAGACCAAGTAGCTGAGACCACTTCTGTGTGCCACTATATCTGGTCGATAACTTTTAAAAAATGTTCTTACTATGGACAATTTTAACCATAAACAGAGTAGAGGGAATAATACAGTGAACCCCACATAACTCTCTGGATAGCCATAATGACACCAGCTCTTGTCCCCACCCTTGTCTTAGACACACTGTTCTTCCAACCTCAGTCTTCTCCAATTTCTACAAGGATTATTCTGAAGCAAATCCCAGATATCTCATTGATCCACAGATATCTGAAGATGTGGCTGTTAAAAATGTCCTTTAAAACAATATTCTGGATGGCACCTGTGGCTCAGTGGATAGGGCGCCAGCCCCATATACTGAGGGTGGCGGGTTCAAACCCAACCCCAGCCAAACTGCAACAAAAAAATAGCTGGGCATTGTGGTAATGCCTGTAGTCCCAGCTACTTGGGAGGCTTAGGCAAGAGAATCACCTAAGCCTAGGAGTTGGAGGTTGCTGTGAGCTGTGTGATGCCACGGCACTCTACCAAGGGCGATAAAGTGAAACTCTGTCTCTACAAAAATAAATAAATAAATAATATTCTAGGCCAGGCATGGTGGCTCATGGCTATAATCTCAGCATCCTGGGAGGCCAAGGGATGGACTGCTTGAGTTTAGGAGTTTGAGGCCAGCCTGAGCAAGAACGAGACCCTGGCTCTACTAAAAACAGAAAAACTAGCCAGGTGTTATGATAGTTCACACCTATAGTCCCAGCTACTCAGAAGACTGAAGCAGGAGTATCTCTTGACCCCAAGTGTTTGAGGTTGCTGTGAGCTGACACCATGGCACTCTACCCAGGGTGACAGAGCGAAATTCATCTCAAGCATACACAAACAAACAAACAAAAGAACCCCAACAAACAACTCTCAAAACTGCAAATATTAATGATAACAAAGCCCAATTTTTTTTTTTTTTTTGAAGACATAGTCTCACTTTGTTGCCCCTAGTAGAGAGCCATGGCATCATAGCTCACAGCATCTTCAGACTCTAGCTCAAGTGATTCTCCTGTCTCAGCCTCCGGAATAGCTGGGACTACAGGCACCCCCCACAATGCCTGGTTATTTTTTAGAGGGTCTTGCTCTAACTCAGGCTAGTCTTGAACTCCTGAGCTTAGGTGATCCTCTCCCGTTGGCCTCCTAGAGTGCTAGGAGTACAGTTGTGGGCCACCGCACCTGGCATCTTTATACTCTTACCAGTGTCCTTAGATGCATATTAGTTTTCAATTTTAATGAAGTCCAACTTATTCATTTTTTATTTTGTTGTCTGTGGTTTTGGTGTCATATCTAAAACTCCATCGCCAAATACAAGATCATGATGATTTGTTTCTATAATCTAACAATTTCATAGTTTTAGCTATTAACTTTAGGTTTTTGATCCATTTTGAGTTCATCCTTACATATGGTGTTAAGGTCCCAACTTTTTATCTTTATGCATGCACAAGCATATTTTTCCCAGTGTTTTTTTTTTTTTTTTTTTTTGAGACAGTCTCACTATGTCACCTTTGGCAGAATGCTGTGGCATCACAGCTCACAGCAACCTCCAACTCTTGGGCTTAAGCGATTCTCTTGCCTCAGCCTCCCAAGTAGTTAGGACTACAGGTGCCTGCCACAATGCCCTGCTATTTTTCGGTTGCAGTTGTTTAGTTGGCCCAGGCTGGGTTCAAACCCGCCACCTTGGTGTATGTGGCTGGCGCTGAATCCCAGTGCTATTTGTTGAAGAGACTGTTCGTTTCCCATTGGATGATCTAAGTACTCTTGTGGAAAAATCAATTAAACACAGGTTTATTTCGGAGGGTCTATTTCTCAGTTGTTTTTTTTTCTTTTGAGACAGAGTCTTACTTTGTCACCCTTGGCAAAGTGCCATGGCATCATAGCTCATAGCAACCTCATATTCCTGGGCTCAAGTGATTCTCTTGCCTCAGCCTCCCAAGTAGCTGGGACTACTGGCGCCTGCCACAACTCCCAGCTATTTTTAGAGATGGGGTCTTGTTCTTGCTCAGGCTGGTCTGGAACCCATGAGCTCAGGGCAATCCACCTGCCTCAGCCTCCCAGAGTGCTAGAATTACAGGGGTGAGCCACCATGCCTGGCTCAGTTCTCAATTCTATCTACGGGTCTATATGTCTGTCCTATGTCAGTCCCAGGTTATTTAAATTTGTTTTGTGTAAGATTTGAAACTGGGAAGTATAAGCCTCCAATGTTTTCCTTTTCAAGATTATTTTCCGTATTTGAGGTCCCTTGAGATTCCATCTGAATTTTAGGATGGGTTTTTCCATTTCTGAAAAAAATTCTTAGGAATTCAATAGGGACTATATTAAATTTCTTCATCTCCAGGACCCCCCTCTATGGTCCATCATGTAATTTTGTATATATTGTTATTCTAATTATATCTTTGTGGTGTTAACTAGTATGAAGTTTGGTCTGATTTCAGCTTGATGTTTTTTATAAGATCTCATCAAAGGTGGTCCATAATGTGCACAAATATGATCTAATAATAATAAAAAAAAAAGATGGTCCATAATGGCTGTCCATTACCAGGCCCATAATGGCTGATTATCCCTCCTTTTGGAATGCAAATATCTACTGATGTCCATTACCTTCCTACCTTAACTTGGGTTTGTTTGGGTGTGCCAAGCGTGAAGTGGCAGTGACCTACAAGTTTGCAACATGGTGATATTCTAATTCTGTACTTCCTTTTTATTTATAGCAGGAGTACTTTTATGATGTTAGCTACTATCCTGACATATAGTAAGTACACAAAGAAAATGCTGGTTAAGATCCCTATCTTGTCATGTATTTATTTGTATGGTGTATGAGATGTTTTAAGAAATGTTTACAATGTGCAATGATTAAATCAAGCTAATTAGTAAATCTATCATCTCAAATACTTAAAGAAAAAAAAAAAAGATCCCTATCTTGTCCTCCACCAGCTTTGTGAATGGGTCCTCTGGCATTCTTTAAAGGTCACAAATTATTTTGAGTGCCATTATGAGCCCATGAATTCTAACCTGTTCAAACACTATAGCCATTCATCACTTCTGGCTCATGGCCCCTCTCCATACTTGGTCTGAGTCCTTCTGGCACCATCCTAGAAGTATGTGAGAGGTTCCTGGATTTCTGGTATTACAAAAAGTTCTAGTTCACCTTGTGCACTCCCTAACCTTGACTTGAAATTGATCATTTCCCCAGTGATGCTGGCGATGACCAATAGTCCTGGATCCAAGACCTTTATTTATTTATTTATTTTTGAGACAGATTTTCACTTTGTCACTCCTAGTAGAGCGCTGTAGCATCATAGCTCATAGCAACCTCAAAATCTTGGGCTGAAGTGATTCTCTTGCCTCAGCCTTCCAAGTAGGTGGGACTACAGGTACCTGCCACAACGCCTGACTATTTTTAGAGATGGGGCCTTCCTCTTATTCAGGCTGGTCTCAAACCGGTGAGTTCAGGGCAATCCACCTGCCTCAGCCACCCACAGTGATTATAGGCATAGCCACCGCGCCCAACCAAGACCTTTATATGTTGACTAAAAATCAAGGGAATCCCTATTCTGTTTCCATTTGGTCCACACCCAGCTGTGCTAAGGGTGCACAGTCCTCTGCCCAATCCCTTTCCATTCACTGGAACATGTGAGTCACAGCAAGAAACATCTTATCCTTGTTTGGCTAATTCAAGCTCCTCCCTTAGTGAAGAATTGCTGACTTTTAGGCCATTTCTGGTCAAGATTCAGCTTGTAGCACAATATCTAAAGATACTTTCCGAGGAGATGCTCTCTTTGCTCCTACAACACTGGAAAGGCAGATGTTACTGCAGAGGCACCAGCACAGCAGAGATGCAGGGCAATTCAAACCAAGCTGATATTCTTTGATCCATTCATGTTTTCTCCTTGTCTCAGTCCTTTCTGTATTTCCATTTTAATTCTGCAATGGTCCATTTTGTGGTATATGAACCAACAAAAGTTCAGCAATTTTCTAGGAAAAGGCAACTCCATTCTTCTCTGGGTAAGAATTTTCTGTGGGAATAAGACCATACCTTCCGACCACAACAAAGGTGGAAAAACAAATAAGTAAGTTTAAAATACTGCTAATAATTATGTTAATAATAGGTTCAGCGCCCACAGCTCAGTGATTAGGGCACCAGCCACATATACCCAGACTGGTGGGTTCGAACCTGATCCAGGCCTGCTAAACAAAAAAAAAAATAGCCAGGCATTATGGGAGGCGCCTATAGTCCCAGCTACTAGGGAGGCTGAGGCAAAAGAATTGCTTGAGCCCAAGAGTTTGAAGTTGCTGTGAGCTATGACATCACAGCACTCTACTGAGGGTAACATAGACTCTGTCTCAAAAAAACAAACCAAAACAACAACAACCACAAAAAATATATATGTGTAAAAATAAAGATCCTGGCCTTTCTTACTGAGGAATCTGAGTCTGGATGCAGTAAACCCCAGAAATATTCTACCACCACTCAAGCAAACGAACATCCAAGCTAGTGCAGGCTCTGGTCTTTAGGGAAGCCAGGACTGGCCTTAGTCAAGCCCTTGACTTTAGCTCTGGGAGGTCACAGATCTAACCAATTCTTCCTAAGGCCACATCCAAAGTCATATTGCTCAGGCATTCTACTTTCCAGTGGCTACTAAGTCAGTGTTGTAGGTGAAGAGGCTCTGGTCATATTATTCTGTTGGTGTCTTTTATTAGTTCAGAGGCATTAGCTATACTTTAGCCAAACACCACAAATTTGTACAGATAATACCAATTAAGACTTTATATAACTGTGAGGGGCAATGCCAATCAAAAGCCACCACTGGCTGGGCACAGTGGCTCAGTATAAGATCCCGGCACTATTGGAGGCTGAGGTAAGAAGATTGTTTAAATCCAGGAGTTTGAGGCTGCAGTGAACTATGATGACGTCACTGCATTTCAGCTTGGGCGACAGAGCAAGACTCTGTTTCAAAAAACAGAAAACAAAACCACCACCACCCCCTTTTTTCCCCTTCCCAAATGAAATAAGAACAGTGAAAAATTCACGAGGGTCCAACTGCTATCATATGTTCAATTATGTAACTCTTTGCCTTACTCCTTGGCGCTATGTAGTAAAGAGCAGCAGTGGCAGCCTGTTTGCAGTGGGTGTCCCTGGCCACCAACACACAAAGAGAACCACTTCTTCCAGGGCTTCAGTCAGCTAGGCTCAAATGAACAAGCTGGTACACCTGGAAGTGCCTTGGATTTGATTCTATCTTTTTTTTGTTTGT